TACTGAAAGAATTCATAAATTAAGAGTAAAATTATAAATATTATATTTAAAATATTCATAATATTTATATATATCACATACAAAATGTTACTCAATAAAAGTATGTCAAATCAAGAAAATATATATTTTTATCAATTTGAGAGGAAAAACCAGCATCATAGTGCTACAAAGCATAGCACTAAAGTACTCTAGTTTTTAAAAAAATTATATTTCTAATTTTTATTTTAAAATACTTTTTATATATTTAGGTTACTATAATCCAACACTTTGAAAAAAAATATAATCCTCGACATTTCCACAAACAAAATTAAATCGATGAAAACAAACTTAATTCATAAACTCTTCAAAACAAATCAATATGATTCAAACCAAATCAACATAAATCTATTTAAAATATCTATAATAACTCTAATCACTGACTTATTATTCATTACGTTTAATCAATCTTAAATTCAAACATACATCTATGTATATCATTTCAATCATATATCAATCAGTATGTAATGCAATTCTAGTCAATTAAAAATTAATTACATAGGATTAGAAATTCTACTAGTGGATCCTCTAGATGCATCCCTATCATTCTACTTGATCAGAATATAAACTCTAGTTCATATTGGTGTCAATGCTGGTGTGGTAGACTGCATAAGTTCTCTTTGACCTTTAATAATTTCTTATACATATGTCTTACTCATGAACCCTTTACTGTATCCTCTAAATCCAATAGTCCTCTATCTTAGCCCTACTTTGATTACTCTTTTCTAAATATAGATAATGTTCCCTATCATTATAACAGATAATCAGCCATCCTGCATCCTCAATATCCACATCTAAAACACTATTCGGTTATTTAAAAATATGATCCAGTATGTCTCTTTACACATTGGTACACTTTGGTATAATTCCCATACTGGACTCGTATCATCTCCTATTGTTTAAAATTATGCACCTATTTTCACTTCTATCTCTCTTATTCATGTTATCTCCTGATCACTTCCTATTCATATCCTATATGAATAGTAGAATTGCTAAGTCATTCTCCAACAATCTTATTATCTTAACCAGTTAAGAAAATTCCTAAATCCTTAATAGTACAAGCAAATGCCTCAACTCATTTCGTAGTCCCCTAAAAAATCTTTAATAATTTTCCTCTATTATAATGATCAACTGTAGAGTATATATTACCAGTGCAATGTATTTTTCTTTGTTTTACATCAGTGTTCTATCCCCTTTCTCCAATCTCATAAAAGCCTCCTTTATCTACTATTGAGTTGATGGTGGTACGAGCAAATATCTAAAAATAGTAACAAACTTAGCTCATCTAATATCTATATTCATCTTTCATTAAAATTTCTCTCACAAATGTCATATCCATTATCTCTCAGCCTCTCCTTCAAATAGAAATACTTTAAGTGGTACTTTCCTATTCTTTGAACACTGCACACTATCAAATATTTTATCTATTCTCATAAGCTAGTCTTCTACTACCAAGGGTTCTACACCTCTTTTAAATAACAATAGCTTTAGTTTATGAAAGATTTGTGTATGCCTGACCTATTCAGTCTCCTTATGTTCATTCTACTTACTTTAAGCATTACTTATTACTTATGCAAGTAAACTTGCAAGCTATATCAAACAGTTAGAATTGACTAGAGTTACTACTACACCCTATCTATTTTGTGTATCCTAATAAGTATGGTCCATCTATCAACTCATAAAATTCTTTCTCCTAATTAACTAACACATAAACACAATATACATTCATATGCATATCAATCAATTAAATGCAATGATGAAAATATCTATGCTACCCAACTTCTACCTCACTAATAATCAATTCCTATATCTTTAGTTATAATTAATTTTTTCAACAACTACTCTAATACTAATTTTTCATGCTTATGCCCTAAGATCAAATTTGGAGAATTTCAACAACTGCTCTAATACCAACTTGGTGATGATTTTTGGCGTTGTTGTGCTCTAAAGTAAGCACCAAAGCGCTCTAATTCAAACAAAAATTCATATATATATTATTTTTTATTTTAAAATACTTTCCATATCTCCGGTTTCTACACCCACATTCTGAACCTTATGAATCCAATGCATGTATGTCCTCCAATGGAATCTAGGTTATGCATAAAGGCTTGTTGATTTGGTTCAAGTATTTATTTAGGAGGTTTATTATTTTAATATTAAGTTAAGATTTTTTAGTTTAATTAACTTGAGCTTAGGTGAGATAATTTAAGTAATTTAGTTTGATTTTAATATTTTAAATCTAATTTGAAGTTCTCTAATTTAATTTATTATTATTCATTATATTTTTAATTATTTATTTAAACATTTTCTTATAGAAAGAATTTGGTTTGGGTTTTGATTAATCTAATCAACCTTAAATGTTTAAATGATTGATACCATTGGTTAGGAATAACTCATGAATAAATTCCTAAAAATTTGGGATTAATTAGATTAATATTTAATTTTTTTAATTTATTTAATTAATCATTAATTAAGATTTAGTATAAAAATAATTTAATTTTAATTAAATTTGGTAGTTAATTTTAATTTTCCTTGATTGTATAATTGATTTAGAGTTGTTTAAATTTATTTATATTTTTAGGATTTTTAATTTAATTATGAATTTTAGAAATTTCAGCCCAAAAATGGAGGCTGAAGTTAAGTTTTGTTTATTAACTAACCTAATGAACTTCAACTAAGATGAAATAAATTCCTAGGGTGTGTCAGGTTTGAGTTTCACCCCTATTGAATATAAAGGAAAATTTATAGAATTTTTATAAGTTGTCTAAACATAATCCCAAGTTGATTCACCTTAGATTAGAGAGAGAAACTCCAGCCGTTAGAGAGAGAAAGTTTTTGAAATTTTAAATTTTCATTCCCACATTATGATCTTGATTCTCAGGGACGGAGGAGGATGATGGCGGTGGACTGTCGCCGGCAAGGGCATAATGTGGAGATTGAGGTTGAAGATCAACGGAAGTCGACGTCGTCGTCGACGTCGAGATCTCCATCGCTAGTGGTTAATTCAAAGATTAATGTTACAGGTGATGGCTTGTCGAATTTGAATTCCTTACAGAGAATTCAAATTCCTTTGATTAAATGACAAGGACCTTTGGTGATTAAGGAGGTTCTGAAATATCTCCTAAGATGATTCATTATATGGAAGGAAAAGGTAAGGCTATAGATGAAGTTTTGAATTCGATTAATCCTAACACTTTTAAATCCACAGCTTTTCCTTCTGATAATACTGCATCAACTTCTGGAATGAAAATATTTGTTAATTATTTCGGGATTTCGAATGCAATCCCTGGACTTAGTCCCAGCGTGATAAATGAGAATTCTCAGAATTTGTTTGACAAAAATATTCATTCAGAACCTGAAAGGAGGAAGGAGACGATCGTAGATAAGTTGTCTGATGGAATGCCAAAAAGCTCATGGCATGGATAATGTGAATCCTTGGAGTAATAAACCTTACATTAAGCTGGATTTCAAAAAAGAGGAAGTTATTTACTCTGAAGATGGAATTGCGGTCAGGTTAAATGAAGATATTGAGAAGATGAACTCAGAAAAATTAGCCAATTCATTGGTAATTAAGGTATTTGGGAAAGTTATACCTTCTCATTTGGTGGCCTGGGATATAAGAAAACAATGGACTCAATTCGGGCAATTCCACTTTACTACATTGGGTAGAGGATGGTTCTTATGTTCTTTCTCATCGGAAGAAATGGTTGAAGCAGTCCATTCAGGTGGCCCGTGGTTTGTAAATAGACATATAATAGGTATGGAGAAGTGGACTCCAAATTTTACTACTACATCTATTAAGGGACTATCATCTCCAATTTGGATTAGAATGCCCCATTTACCATTGAAATGTTGGGATGAGAAGAATGTAGCTTGCATTGCTTCAAGAATTGGAAAACCACTTATGTTGGATGGTAATATGTTCCATTGGGGAAGGAGAGAATTTGCAAGAGTTTGTGTAAGAATTAAGATTGATCAACCTCTTCCAATAGGAGTTTGGGTGGATAGCATGGCTGGAAGGTTCTTCCAAAAGGTGGAATATGAGAAGGTTTCTAACTTTTGCTTTGTATGTGGAAAAATTGGACATGTGAATAAGGAATGTGGACAAAAAGTTAATAATCCTAATGTAGTAGAGGATGTTGAGGAAATTGGTAGAGAAAAGGTTGTGGGAAGCAAACAAGAAATTCTGATTGAACCTACTTATGGTCCATGGATTATGGTAAATAACAAGAGAAGGAGCACTAAACTGAGGAATAAGGAGATCAAACCAAACACACTTAGATATGTAAAAAAAATATGTTATTCCTGTAGCAGTTGGGGAATGAAATTCAAAAGGTGGTAGATGATGGCTTCAGAGAAAGCTCGGCTCAAGAATGTCCTGAAAAATTATGTAATGAGGCTGAAAAATTAGAAGAAGGGGAGTTCAGGCCAGAACAAAGTTTTGATCTCTCTCAGGATAATAACATGGCTATGGAAGAGCCTTTTATTTCTAACAGCATAGATGGGAAGGGTTGCCTACGAACTCAAGTAAATCCTAATGGATTACTTGCGAACTCAAGTATTCCCTATCATGAATCAGTAGTTTCTGTCAGCAATGATCCTGGAAGGATGCCAGATAAAAATTTGAATTTGAATGTGGAAGCTCCTCTGGCTTTCATGAAGGAAAATATGTTCTCTATCCTCCAAACGGTTAGTGAAGATGGAAATGAAGATGTTAATTTACAAAGTGCTATGGTGAGAGCTGAAGATGGTAGACAGGCAACGGAAGGGGATTCTGTGATTTACAAGGATGCAGGAGATATCTTAGTTATGGAAAAAGACAATGGTCTGAATGAAGAATTTCCTAAGTACAAATTGGCAAAAGAACTAAGATCTTTAGGACCCATTTAAAATAAATCCCGTTGAAGACTTGGAGAAGGAGGAAGTATGAGGAAAGTTGGGGGCTACTCCCCAAAGAAACTTTAATGGATTCCATAGCCTTTTGGAATTGTAGAGGGGCAAAGAAGAAGGAATCCTCTCTATATATGAAGGAGTTCATAAAAGATTATAAGGTATTCTTTGTGGGTTTAGTTGAAACTAAAATCAGCTCCTTTGATAAAACTGATTTTGATAATATCATGGGTCCTAATTGGGATTTCTTTATTCTACCTTCGGAGGGATTATCTGGTGGTATTATGATTCTATGGAGAACTGATATTGCTTCCTTCTCAGTGTTAAAAACTATATATCAATATGTAATTGGAGATCTTAATGTCTTCAAAAAAGGAAGTTGGATGATTGCTACTGTCTATGGGAGCAAGGAGGTTCACAAGAGGAGATTATTATGGGATTGCATTCATGAGCAATTGCAAAGGAAGATTCCATCTATTATTGGAGGGGATTTTAATTGCATTCTATCACAAGAGGAAAGGAGAGGAGGAAAGAAGTTTATCTTCTTTCAAGGTTCCTTAGAAATGCTCAAATTTATGAATGATAGTGATTATCATGATATTGGAGTGGTTGGTCCAAGATATACTTGGTGCAATAATAAAGTGGGAAGTGGAAGAATTCTAAAACGCTTGGATAGATGCTTGTTGAACTCAATGGATCTTCAAAATATCCAAATTATTGTGGTAAGACACTTAGCCAGAGTGGCTTCTGACCACTGCCCTATAGTGCTGAAATTATTTGATGAAACTAGAAGGTTAGCAAGGTCTATTAAATTTGAAGATGTTTGGTTATCCTTTAAAACATCGGAGCACATAGTTTCCAAAATCTGGAAAAAGAATTTTGTAGGGGATGACATGGAAGTCCTCAACAAGAAGTGCAAGAGAACTTTAAATGACTTATTTTATTGGAGCAAGAACAAACTAAAAGACTTTTCTAGTGAAAATGATAGATTAAAGGCTGATATTGTATTACTCCAAGAAGAAGAAGCTAGAAAAGGATGGCTAGATGATGAGAAGTTATGGAAACTAAGAGCTAAAGTAAGAGAGTTTAATGTTATTCTCAATTACTTGAACACTTGGTGGAAGCAAAGAGCAAAAGTGAAGTGGGTAGTTGAGGGTGATTCAAATACCAAATTCTTTCATGCCTTTGCCAATGCTAGAAGAAATTCGAATTGGATCTCTCAAGTAAAGAATCTTGAGGGCTTGATCACCGAAGATCCTAGGGAAGTGGAAGAAGTTTTTTTCAATTTCTTTCAAGAGAAATGGAAGGAAAGATATTGCAGTTTAGATAACTAGCCGAATCCTTGGAAGGTTTTGAATGAAGATGACAAAACTTGGTTGAAGAAGGAGCTTTTAGAAAATGAAGTTAAGGAGTCTGTTATGAAGCTAGGGAACAATAAAGCTCCGGGATGTGATGGATTGACACACTCTTTTTTCAAAAACTTTTGGGATATAAATGGTAGAGATGTATTTAAAGCAGTGAGTTTTTTTTTTCTCTACAGGAAAGATGTGTAATGAGTGGAAAGAAACTTTGGCAGTGCTCATTCCAAAATCCACTCATCCTTTAACTCCTGCATACTATCGTCCAATCAATTTGTGTTATTCAATTTATAAGATTGTGTCCAATGTAATCTTAAATATATTTGTTTTAGTAATACTCGAGATCATATTTGAAGAGCAAGTGGCATTTGTGAAGAAGAGATCAATCTCTGATCATCTTTTATTAGCTCAAGAGGTTTTCAATAAACTGAGGTATTCAAAAGCTTGAAATGGATACTTGGCTATCAAATTGGATATGGAACAAGCATACGATAGTATGTTTTGGTTAACCTTGAAGAAGATGATGATGGATTTGGGATTCCCAGACAAATTTCTAGAACTTGTTATGGAATGTGTTTCATATCCCAGATTTTCAATATTAATCAATGGGACAAGATATAAATGGATTGAAGGCAAATGTGGGTTTCGTCAAGGCTGCACACTCTCTCCATTTTTATTTATCATATGCTCTCAGTTATTGTCTAATGTTTTCTACTGTAGGGGAAACAATTTGGGAATCAGTATTTGCTCTAATGCTTCTAAAATTTCTCATCTTTTATACGTAGATGATGTATTATTGTTTTCTAATGCTAAATTGATTAATGTGAAGAAGATTAAAAGCATTATTAAACAATACTACAGCTGGACAGGCCAGAGTATTAACAAGCATAAATCATCTTTGATTTTTGGTAATTTTGTGTTGAGGAGAAGGAAGAAACAGATTTCCAAGTTGCTGGATTTCAAACCGGTAGAAGAAATTGAACATCTGGGTATAAAAATTGCTTTGAGACGTTTAAAAAAGGATGATTTCCAAGTTTTGTTGGATAAAACCATTAAGAGAATGAATGAATGGGGAAACAGGCATATGTCTTTGGCTGGAAGGTTGTGTCTGGTAAAATCTGTTATTCTTACTCTACCAGTTTTTTTGATTTCTAATTCTCTTGTTCCTATGAAAATACTTTATGAGTTAGAAAAACTTTGTAGATAATTTATTTGGAATAAAATGGATAGAAGCCATGGTTTACATTATGTAGCATGGAAGTTGTTATGTACACCTAAGCATTGTGGAGGATGGGGTCTTCAATCAGTTATGTCATGAATTGGATCTCTTAGAGCAAAATTTGCTTGGAATCTAATTGAGAAACCAAATACTTTGTTAAATAGAAACTTGCTGGCCAAATATGGTGATTTGTGGTGGAGTAAGGAAGATTTTAAAGGAGGATCAAATGGTTGGAAGATCATCATAAGTGGATGGAAGGCTCTTAAAAAATTTGTTAGATGGAGGGTTGTTAATGGATCCAGCATTAATGTATTACAAGATGCTTGGATTCTAGATAAATGTCTTCTTAAATGGCCTACTTTTGTAGGATGCCTTGATGATAACATAACTTCTCTTGATTATTTCATAGAAGATGGAAAGTGGAATAACATCAAACTGAGACAATTTTTCGGAGTAGAGCTCCAGAAAATCATTGAAGATGTGTAGATTTTCAGCAATGCAACACAAGATCAGATGGAATTGAAGCGTCAATTTTCTGGTAAAACTATCTCAGCCTTGTTAATTGAAGATAATCTTAGAGATTTTTCCTTGAATGAATTGTTTCATGGATTCATAAACTAAAGATCAATGCTCGGGTAGAGTTATTTCTGTGGAGAATATGTATTGAAGCTATTCTTACTGAACTTTTTCTCTTTTTAAAAGAAAACATTCGGTTAACTGCTTATGTCCTATGGAATGTGGTGTGATTGAAGATCTTGATCATGTCACCTCTAATTGTTTAAAACTTGTGGAGGTTTGCAAGGTATTACAAGGTTGGGGATTCAGTATTTCATTTTTCTGTAACTGGAATGAATTCAACAGCAGTCTCAGGAGATTAATAAATGAAGATCTGATGACAGCAAGGATTTATGTACTTATTGTATGGATGGTTTGGAACAATAGATGCAAGGTTAAGAATGGAAAAACTGGAAGTAGTAAGGTATTGATTGCTTCTTCAGTAGGATGTTTACCACTCAGACACTGGGATGCTTATCAGTTCAATGGACTGCTCTTACATTATTGGCATCCTCCTCCACCTGAGTGGCTTGAAATTAATCTTGATGGAGCTCTTAGAGAAAACTATATGACTGGGATAGGTGGGGTGGTAAGAGATGACAAAGGTAGATTTATCTTTGCTTTTGGAAGAAAGAAGCTGCATTGGGACAGTGCACATTTGGAGCTCTCGGCATTCAAAGCCTTAGAAGGAATTTGCCATGAATGGACAAGAAATATAAAAGGTATTATTTTGGAAGGTGACAATAAAAATGTTCTCCAATATCTTTAGAATTTGTACAGAAAACCGAAGATTATTAGAGAGAACTCGGGTGATGAAGGTATCTTATTTTTTAGCAATTTCAATAATGTGATCTTTAATTGTGTCAATCGCAATTGTAATAAGTTAGCAGATTATTGTGCTAACTTAGCTTTATCTTTTGATTTTGATTTGGATTTCTTTCTTGAGGACAACCTTCCTTCTTACTTTGCTAAATTAGTAAAGGAAAAAAGTGAGAGATGGTTGATTCCTCATTAGCTTGTATCTAGGCTTTTTGATGCCATTTTATATTATTGCTACTTAGCATTTCTCAAAAAAAAAAAAAAAAGTTGATTCACCTTTGTGTCGGTCTATTCAATTAGGTCAGCATTCAATGCAAACTAGCCCTTGTAATAATGTAAACAATTCACACATGTTTTGTGACCTAACTCTACATGTATTGAGAAAATTAAGTTTTTCAAAGTTATAGGTCAAATAATGGCTTATAGCCTTAAAAAATTAATTACATAACTTAGGGGTTTCACTTGGCCCAAGGAAAGTTAGGGGATGTAAGGAACACCCTAGTTTACCATGTCCAAATTTGAGACCAAGATGATAGATAATTAGAAAATAATAAAAAAAAAAATTGTGGATCTTCAAATGAAAAAAACTCCCTAAATAAGCATCAAAATGCTTTAATTTTTTTAAAGCAGATCTCATCACCTTGGTTATATAGAGCCCAAGATAATAAAAGATGGTTTAGAAATGGTTTTAATGAATTTTTGAAGTTTTAAGCATTTTTTATACATTCAAAAATTTTTAATTAGAAAAGGTGGTTGTTGTGTTGGCAACACAACAGTGGTTGGATGTGCAGCAGGTGTGAATTAATTTGGTAAAAATTGGATGCAATGGTAGAGATGTAGTGGCAGTTAGATGCATGAAAGTCTAATGATGCATTACTTATCCACGTCAGATTGGAATTGAGTCATCATATTTGCACGATTTGGAATAGTCAACTCAGATATATCTAGATGAAATCCTATACACCGCGCAGTTTGACTTAGACGGTTCAGACTATCCATTTGATGGGATCTAGACTATCTACATGATTGGATGGTTTAAATTTTGTATTCTTCCTTGAATATATATTTCTTAAAGAAATTTTGTTTGCTTTCTGTGGGGTATTAGTAAACAAAACTTAATTAAATTTTTAAGGCTTATTTATGTAAATATGAAGTCCCTATATATGAATTTTGGGGTGTCATATGGCCTATTTTAAAAGTTCTTTTAGTTAAATCCCATAGTGGAGCCTACATATTAAAAAAAGAAAACTATAAATTCATAAAAGGGATTAATAGCTTGTTAATACTTAGAGGAGCTACCTCAAAAAGAAAAGAAAACTTAAAGGCAAAAATCCCATCTAAGTACATGAAATTAGAAAAAAAAATTCTAGGTTGGCTAGAGAAATCACCCAAAAAATGGACATTTAATGCATTTTCTCAGTACTAGCCTCCATCCAAAAAAAGCTAAATAGCAAAAGACTTGGGAAATCTACTTAACCAGCAAAAGAAGCAGCTTGCAAAATAAGAAGAACTAGAAATAGAAATTAATAAAGATGAATGGTAAACCATTAGGATATAAATACTACTGATCATTCAGTCCCACTACCATAAGTCGTGATGTATAAAAGGCAAAACCATGGAAAGATCTAAGTTCAGAACTTGCCAGAGAAAGTCAGAAAGAATTCCTCAACACATATAGGTGCACTTCAAAAAATAAATGCCCACAGATGTAGAATACCATGTTAACTAAGATGCAATAATAGCTAGAAAAAAATAATAAAATAACTCAGAAGGGGCAGGCATAACCAGCTCAGTAGTATGATATCTATTAAGTAGTCATGAAAAATACCCAACTCCTAGTAAAAATTGATCCATGACCAACAAAATCACACAAAAAAGACATAATAGAGGAAGGAAAGCCTAACCCAACTAAAGAGCCAGGAGAAGAAAAAAACCAAAACTAGAAGAAAAGAAATGCACCAATAGTGTAATAAAGGAACTAATATTCTGAGAGCTAACAACCAACAAAACATTCAAATTACAATTATAGACACACATCAAAACCCTGATACAGGAACATTGAACAAGCTTCCCCAAGGAGAAGAATACAAAGAAGCCCAAATGAAAACACCACCACTGATAAACAAAAGTCAAAACCAAACTAGAGTACTCCACATTCATATTATAGACATTCCTTCTCAAAGTTAGCCCATTTTTATCTAGCCTAATAAGCCCTTACAGAACAATAGGTAGATTAGTGTAAGTGAAATCCATAAGATAATTAAGGGTGGAACCATAGTTAGCTAACAAGTCGGCACAAGTATTCCTCTCCATTATGATATGAAAAAATTGAAAAATAAAAAGAGTAAAGAGCTACTTAATATCATGGATAAGATAACACATA